AAATTTACAGAAAGATAACACAACAATTAGAGGTAAACAACATGGGCGCTCCCGAGGTACCGCCTCGTAACCCCAAAAGTAAATATGCAGTACATGGAAATCTCCCGAGGAACTGCCTCATAGTCCCAAAAGTAAATATGCAGTACAGGGGATCTCCCGATGAACCGCCTCGTAGTCCCAAAAGTAAATATGCAGTACAGGGGATCTCCCGATGAACCGCCTCGTAGTCCCAAAAGTAAATATGCAGTACACGGGGATCTCCCGAGGAACAACCTCGTAGTCCCAAAAGTAAATATGCAGTACAGGGGGATCTTCCGATGAACCGCCTCGTAGTCCCAAAAGTAAATATGCAGTACAGGGGGATCTTCCGATGAACCGCCTCGTACTCCCAAAAGTAAATATACAGTAGGTAATCACAGGAACAACAAATTTTCAGCAAGAAATCTTACAGTTAAATATTTAAATCAAATCGAGGAAAGCAGGTAATTCAGCTAAGCATGTTGCACATATTGCAAGTAAGAGTTAAGGCACGTAGACATGTGATACTAGGCTAATCATGATCACAACATATACTAAGGCAACTCAGTTAAAGAATTTAAAAAAAGATTACTCAGCAAAAACCGATATTTCCAAATTTAGCCCGTGTACGCACTCGTCTCCTCGCGTACACGGCGCTCACATATCACAAAATGTTACAACAGTATCAAATCCTATGGAAATTTCACCAACACAGGGTTAGACAAGTCACTTACCTCGAATCACGCTCAATCAGTCAAGTAGAATGTCTTTCTCTCGATTTTTCGACTCCGATCGGCTCGAATCTAGTCATAATTAATTCGATTCAATCAATACAAATTATATATGAAAATACAATTTTTCTAACAAAATCCGAAATTTTAACTCAAAATTTGTCCTTGGGGCCCACATCTTGGAACCCAACAAAAGTTATAAAATCCGAAAGCCCATTCAACCACGAGTCTAACCATACCAATTTTACCAAAATCCGACCTAAACTATACCTCCAAATCTTCAAATCTTATTTTCAAATCCCTAAGTTCAACTCTCTGATTCACACCTCTAAATCATGTAATCTAGTCGGATTATTAGATGATAATTCAATATTATGGAGTAGAAATGATCACAAGTAATTTACCTCAAGAATTCCCATGAAAACCTCGCTTAAAATTGCCCAGCCCGAGCTTGAATTGCCCAAAAATGGCAAAAATTCGGAACCCCTCTATTTTTGTACTGTCCAGGGGTTTCCGCTTCTACGAAATTGTTAGCCACATCTGCGGTCTCGCAGATACTTGAATTCCTTCGCTTCTGCGGCTTCATCCTTTCTGCGGACAAGAAGTCTGCTTCTGCGGACTCGCTTATGTTAGAAGTTGTCCGCTTCTGCGAAGCCGCCTGGCCCCCCATTTCCGCTTTTGCAATCGAACCTTCGCAGGTGCGACGCTGCTTCTGCGGACCACCCGTCCGCACCTGCAACCAATGCCTCACTAGCCCCTCGTCTGCTTCTGCGCTTGCCATCCTCGCTTTTGGGAGCTCGCACCTGCGAGCCAATTTCCGCTGGTGCGATTGCATCATATGGCACAAACTTTCAGATTTTTCTTCAAAGTCTGAATTTGATCTGTTAACCATCCGAAACTCACCCGAGACCCCCGGGACTTCAACCAAATACAAAAACAAACAAGTCCTAAAATATCATACGAACTTATTCGAGCCTTCAAATCACGTCAAACAACGCTAAAACCACGAATGATACCCAAATTCAAGCCTAATGAACTTTGAAATTTCAACTTCTACATTCGATGCCGAAACCTATCAAATCAAGTCCGATCGGCCTCAAATTTTACACACAAGTCATAAATGACATAACAGACCTATTAAAATTTCCAGAATCGAATTTCGACCCCGATATCAAAAAGTCAACTCCCCGATCAAACTTCCCAACTCAAATTTCTATTTTAGCCATTTCAAGCCTAATTTAATTACGGACCTCCAAATAATTTTTCGGACACGCTTCTAAGTCCAAAATTACCACACAGAGCTATTGGAATCATCAAAATTCTATTCCGGGGTCGTTTACATAGGTTGACATTCAGCCAACCTTTTTAACTTAAGTTTTAGACTTTGGAACTAAGTGTTCCAATTTACTCCAAGACCTCACCGAACCCGAACCAATTACCCCGAAAAGTCATATAACAACTGTAAAGTATAAATTAAGAAATAATTTGGAAAACAGAGCTGTAATACTCGAAACGACTGGCCAGCTCATTACACATATATTAAAATTTTATTATGTTATCTCAATTATATTTATAAAAACCATTAAACATTTCATAAATTCATTGATTTATATAATGACCACGTGAAACGCGGATAAATTCACTAGTTAATCCATAAAGTTGAGATGAGATGTTAGACTTTTACTGTTACGCGGCGCCTTCTTGAGATACCTTGGAAGGGTGACGTAAGGCTAAAAAACCGATGTCAGTGCAGTTATTATCCGCCGTACCGGAAAACCAATGTCAAGAGTAATTGAGAGAATATAAATAAAAATTGAGAATGAAAGAAAGCTTGATTGCATTAATAAAGCTATTATAGAAAAACAACACAGTGTCGAGGGGGAGAGACACCAGTAAAGAGAATTATTTGCTTGTTTGATCCCTCCTAATAGTGCTTAAAAAAATAAACCAAAGTTACATGATTGGCCTAACTAAGCTAGAGAGATATAGAGCCCGTTTGGATTGACTTGTTTTAAGTGCTTTTAAGCCAAAATAACTTTTAAGCTTTTTGTAGTGTTTGGATAGAGTAAAAAAATACTTTTAAGCACTTATTTTTAAGTAAAAATGACAAAAATAAGCCAAAAGCCCAAAGTTAGAATTCCTAACTTATGACTTAAAAGCTATTTTGGCTTAAAAGTCACTTAAAATAAGCACATGAAAATGAGTTCATAATGAAAATACATGAAATAAAACTACTATATGAAAAGGACTTAGATTCCTACAAAGTAGGAGCCGGTCCGTTGGCAGCAACCTTGTCTTTAGCATCAGGGTCTGCGCACGCGTCACTGTTGGCATCGGCCTGCGGCTGAGCATTGGCGATGGCTATCGGTGGGGCGACATAGACACAAGCGCGCTTGTCGGTGGGAGGCTTGCCATGACGCCATAGGGCGTGTCCAAGGGATCATGGGGCATGGCTGGAAAGCCGCCCATGACATTCTCCCCCACTTGAGTTGGCGACGTTATCGACGCCTTACTTGCAAGATAATCACCGATCATGTTCTTGTTGGATTTGAGGTTTGTTCCCTTTTCCCAATTATTCCCTTCTATATCACAACCCTGCCATTTCAGCAAGAACTCTTGGTGATCTTTCCTTGAAGCATGAACCACTCGATCATCGAGAATAGCTTCTACCCGCCTTTTTCAGGTTGAATTACGGCCTCGAATCTTCCCGAAAAGGTTTCAGAAGACTGACATGGAAGATTGGATGAATCTTACACCAGGTTGGGGTATCCACCCGGCATGTAACTTTCCCAATGCGCTTCTTAATGGACAAAGGTCCAATGTAATTTTGCAGTAGACGAGGGTCACGGACCCCTGCAAACAAGTATCGCTTTGGAATTTTCACCATCACTATGTATCTTGCTTGGTATTCAACAAAGCGACGATTTTTATCAGCATATTTCTTCATCCGCTTTTGGGCTTTGACCAGATAGCTCCGCACTATCTCCAAATTTCGCTTCCATTCCTTCGAGAAGCTAGTAACTCGAGGAGATTTCGACATGTTTGGGACATTCACAGTGTGTAGGAGTAGCGGTTGTTGTCCGGTAACAATTTCAAAAGCACTTTTGTTTGTAATAGAGCTATTTTGTGAATTGAAACACAGTTGAGCAACATCCAGAAGTTTCACCCAATTCTTCTGTGATGCAGTAACAAAATGGCGAAGATATTCCTCCAGCATGCCATTGAACCGCTCCGTCTGACCATCAGTTTGCGGATGAAAACTTGAACTATGGCTCAATTTGGACCAGAGGCACTTAAAAAACTGAGTCCAAATATTGCTAGTGAAGCGAGAGTTGCGATCACTAACGATGTCTTTAGGCAGACCCCAATATTTGAGACCATGAGAGAAGAAGAGTTGAGTTGTATCTTCTGCTGATTTATATTGTGGGAAAGCTATAAATGTAGCATACTTGGAAAATCGATCTACCACAACTAAGATAGTTGTGAGATCTCCGACCTTGGGCAGGCCGGTGATGATATCTAGTGAAACGCTTTCCCAAGGTCTCTTTGTAACAAGCAATGGCTCCATAAGGCCCGCTTGTGTCAAGCGGTCTGACTTGTCTTTCTGGCATACTAAGCAAGTCTTCACATACTGAGCAACATCATCAGCCATTGGAGGCCAATAATAAGCACGGCGTAACAACGCCATGGTGCACTCTTCACCTGGATGGCCTGCCCACAAAGTATCATGGCATTTCATCAGAAGAGTCCTTCATATATCTCCTCCTCTAGGAACATAAAGTCGATTCCCTTTCACTTTCAGGAACCCATCTTCCATGTAGAACTGGCGAGTCTTGCCCCGTCTTACCAAATCGACCAAATACTGTGCAGCAGGATCCTTTGGGAGTAGATCTTATATCTGGTCTCTTATAGTGGTGGCCACTTTGCTACCCTTTAGGGTGGCGAGTAGGCAAACCGATGCTAAGTCGACCCTTCGACTGAGCGTATCAGCAACTTGGTTGGTCTTCCCGCTTTAGTACTCCAGGTTGAAGTGAAATTCCGCTAGGAGTTCTTGCCACTTGGCCTGTCGGCCATTCAGCTTTGGTTGGGTCATGAAATGGCTAACAGCTATGTTGTCTGTCTTGACAATTAATGGGGTTCCTAGCAGATAGTGCCTCCAAAGGAGTAAGTAATGGACAACATCCAATAATTATTTTTTGTGGGCAGCATAGCGTCGTTCTGCATCCTTCAACTTCCGGCTCTCATACGCCACTAGATGCCCCTCTTGTAGCAAGACTCCGCCCATAGCATAGTCAGGGGAATCCGTCTGTACTTCGAATGGCTTGGCAAATCAGGAAGGGCCAAGACGGGGCTACTAGACATAGACGCTTTCAATGCGTTGAAGGCCTCTGCTCGCTTGGGACCCCAATCCCAAGGCGCGACTTTCTTCAGGTGTTCTGTCAACGGCAATGCAATGAGAGAGTAATTTTTCACAAATCTCCGATAAAAGTTACATAGGCCAAGGAATGCCCTCAAGGCGTGGATATCCTTAGGCGGCGGCCAATTTGTGACAGTCTGAATCTTATGTTGGTCCATCTTTATCCGCCCTTCCTCGATGACATGTACAAGGGAGTCAATCTTCTTTTGGGCGAATGCGCACTTGGACAGCTTCACATATAGATTGTGTTCCCGTAGTTGGGCCAAGACCTTCCGCAGGTGCTCCAAGTATTCCTCCAATATTTTGCTATATATCATAATGTCGTTCAAGTACACTACTACGAACTCGTCAATGTACTCTGAGAAGACTTGGTTCATCAATGTGCAAATTTGTGGCTGGAACATTAGTCAAGCCGAATGGCATGACCAGGAATTCTTACGACCCATATCTTGTCACACAGGTCGTCTTGTCTTCATCTCCTTCAGCAATTCGGACTTGCGAGTAACCTGTCTTCAGGTCTATTTTGGTGAACACTGTGGCACCATCCAACCTATCGAACAAGTCTGCCATGAGCGGGATAAGGTATTTGTTCTTCACGGTGATTTATTTAAGGGCCCGATAATCCAGACAGAGTTGTAGGGTGCCATCATGTTTCTTTTGGAATAGCACAGGGGACCCATAAAGGGACTTGGAGGGTACAATGATCCCTGTGTCTAGCATTTTCATCAATTGTCTCCGAAGCTCGGTGAACTTGGGTTGTGACATTTCGTAAGGTGCCCGGGCGGGTGACTTCGCACCCAGCATCAATCAATCTCATGGTCTTCAGTGCGCCTAGGCGGGAGTCGCTTTGGCATATCCTATGGCATGACGTCTTCAAACTCCAGTAACAACTCCTTCACGGGTGCAGGAATGAGACCTAAGAAGCATTCTATAATTTCAATACAAAGAGTAGCCAGGAACGTGGGTTCATGTCTTTTGACTCCCTTCTTCAACTGCAAGGCCGAGATGTTCTCAGCGGCCATCTTTATGGTTGTGATGGGAATAATGCAGGGCTTGGCCCCATTTTCTCCCATCGTTAGTAGCATGTCGGCATAAGGTACTGGAATGGTGTTGGTGTGCCTCATGAATTCTAATCCAACTATCAGCTCGAAGTCAACTATGATCACCACGTGCAAGGTAACTTTTCCTTCATAAGGGCCATGCTTCACTGGCATTCCTTTGGCTATTTCACCTACCGACTGAGGTGGTGAGTTAATAGCCTTGACACAACCTCTGCCCTTTCCCATAACTAGACCAAGGCGTTCTACCAGAGTTGAGGCTAAGTAGTAGAGCCCGTGTCTATCATCGCCCGAATGGGCTTGTCATTAATTTTTATCTCGACAAACATAAAGGTCTTCCCTTGGTTAAGATAAGGCCTTTCATCCGCCTTATTTTTCCCTTTCTTGGTCATTGGGCATAAGTCCTTCTTCTTATGGATAACAGCACTGGTTCTCGCTAAGGCCTCAGAAATAGAACAAACAAGTGCGTTGGAGGCACATATTAGTTCGGTCTGGTCAGCATCATCTGTGTCGTCATCCGTCCCATCATCAAAAGTTTGATAGGCATTCATCTGTGCATATGGGAATCCATTGTTCCAATATGGCCCGCCGCAATGACGACATCCTAAAGGGGGCTTTCTCCCCCGATCATTGTTGTTTGATGCAACACTATTGCTGCCTGAGAAATGAGTCTTAGATTTGGTTGCACTCCGATCTCCTCCACTTCTGCTAGGGCCACCATTACTAGGTTGACCCTCTTTGTATCCCGCTCGGACAAGCGGTTGAGGCATATCCTTCCGATCTTCCACTTGGTATTCCCCAAGGCATTCCGCTGCTTGGATCGCCTTGGGTAAGGTGTCTACCCTTTGTCTTTGCAGCTCCATACGGGCATAATGTTTTAAACCTTCAAGGAATGTGAAGAGTTTATCTTTGTCCCCCATATCCCGTATGTTCAGTATGAGCACGGAGAATTCCCGCACGTAATCTCGCACTGACTTGGTCTAGCAGATCTCCCGTAGCTTTCTCCGCGCATTGTACTCAATATTTTCGGGAAAGAACTGCAGGCTTCGTATTTCACCTGCCACCAGAGTTTAGCATCACCCTGAAAATACATGGCAGCAGTTGCTATCTTTTTTGCTTCTTCTAAATCCCCCACGACATCAAAGTACTGTTCGATGTCGAAGATGAAGTTCTCCATTTCTTTGGCATTTCTAGATCCATTGTATGGTTTTGGCTCAGGAATCCTCAGCTTTTGTGGCACAAGGGCGAGGTTCACAGCACCCCCGGTATGGTTTTTGCCTTCTCGAAGTAGGCCATGTAGTGCAGCATTGACGACATTGAGCTGACCTGTTAACTTATCTATAGTTTCTTGCATGACACACCCTGTCTGCCTCTTGTGCCCTGTAGGCTAAATATTCGGTACGCTCCTGTTGGAGGCTCTCGAATTTACCAAAAATTTTAGTTGCCTCTGTGGCTGTCGTTTGTTGGTCTCCCTCAGAGTCGCGACTGATGTTCGCAATGTCACCTTCGGCCTGCCACATCCTGCGGTCTAGGTCATTCAACCTTTGCACTAGGTTCTTAGATCAGGCACCATATTCATGATGGGTCGTAATACGTCAACCGTTTCTTCAAGGGCCGCAATGTGGTCCCCATGATTCACCATAGTCAGAAATGGTGGTAATGGCAATGTGTTCCCTCGTCCGATGTTAAGCCTAGGCTTTGATACCTACAGTTACGTGGCATCTTCCTGAGATTCCTTGGAAGGGCGACGTAAGGCTAAGAAACCGATGTCAGTGCAGTTACTATCTGCCAACTGAGGTCCCGTCCGTACGCTAGATGAGATTGTCAGTGTCGTACGGGAAAACCAATGTCAAGAGCAATTGAGAGAACAGAAATGAGAATTGAGAATGAAAGAAAGCTTGATTGCATTAATGAAACATATTACAGAAAAACAACACGGTGTCGAGGGGAAGAGACACTGGTACAAATAATTATTTGCTTGCTAGAAAGTTTGATTACTTGATCCCCCCTAATAGTGCTTAAAAAAATAAAACAAAGTTACAGGACTTGACTTAAATAAGCTATAGAGACATAATGGAAATATATGAAATAAAACTGCTCTATATTTACAATGAAAAAGACTAGATTCCTACAAAGTAAAAGCCAGTCAGTTGGCAGCAACCTTGTCTTTAGCATTAGGGTCTGCGCGCGCGGCGCTATTAGCATCTGTCTGCGGCTAGGCGCTGGCGAGGGCTATCAGTGGGGCGACATAGGCACATGTGCGCTTGTCACTTGGCGCGACCAAGACCACGGGGCCGATCATGGCGCTAGGCGTAGTGAGATTTGCCAGGACGCCATGGGACGTGTCCAAGGGGTCATGGAGCATGGCCGGAAAGCCGCCCATGACATCGCTTACTCGTGTAAGGACATATTCTCTTCAAATTAAGGTGTTTCTCTTAATTAATTGCCCCATGCGTCATATATTAATAATGAGATGCGATCTTAGACCTTATGTAACGTGCTCCCCTCAATTTTGTAAAAAGGAAAAAAGCTTATATATAATAAAAAAAAATCTGTTGTAAAGTACGTAGAATATTTTAGTTATAAATTGCACATATTTCAAATGCTTTAAACTGAACTTGATTGAGTAATTAGGACAACATTGTGCAGATTAACTTATTCGANGGCTTGTCATTAATTTTTATCTCGACGAACATAAAGGTCTTCCCTTGGTTAAGATAAGGCCTTTCATCCGCCTTATTTTTCCCTTTCTTGGTCATTGGGCATAAGTCCTTCTTCTTATGGATAACAGCACTGGTTCTCGCTAAGGCCTCAGAAATAGAACAAACAAGTGCGTTGGAGGCACATATTAGTTCGGTCTGGTCAGCATCATCTGTGTCGTCATCCGTCCCATCATCAAAAGTTTGATAGGCATTCATCTGTGCATATGGGAATCCATTGTTCCAATATGGCCCGCCGCAATGACGACATCCTAAAGGGGGCTTTCTCCCCCGATCATTGTTGTTTGATGCAACACTATTGCTGCCTGAGAAATGAGTCTTAGATTTGGTTGCACTCCGATCTCCTCCACTTCTGCTAGGGCCACCATTACTAGGTTGACCCTCTTTGTATCCCGCTCGGACAAGCGGTTGAGGCATATCCTTCCGATCTTCCACTTGGTATTCCCCAAGGCATTCCGCTGCTTGGATCGCCTTGGGTAAGGTGTCTACCCTTTGTCTTTGCAGCTCCATACGGGCATAATGTTTTAAACCTTCAAGGAATGTGAAGAGTTTATCTTTGTCCCCCATATCCCGTATGTTCAGTATGAGCACGGAGAATTCCCGCACGTAATCTCGCACTGACTTGGTCTAGCAGATCTCCCGTAGCTTTCTCCGCGCATTGTACTCAATATTTTCGGGAAAGAACTGCAGGCTTCGTATTTCACCTGCCACCAGAGTTTAGCATCACCCTGAAAATACATGGCAGCAGTTGCTACCTTTTTTGCTTCTTCTAAATCCCCCACGACATCAAAGTACTGTTCGATGTCGAAGATGAAGTTCTCCATTTCTTTGGCGTTCCTAGATCCATTGTATGGTTTTGGCTCAGGAATCCTCAGCTTTTGTGGCACAAGGGCGAGGTTCACAGCACCCCCGGTATGGTTTTCACCTCCTCGAAGTAGGCCATGTAGTGCAGCATTGACGACATTGAGCTGACCTGTTAAGTTATCTATAGTTTCCTGCATGACACACCCTGTCTGCCTCTTGTGCCCTGTAGGCTAAATATTCGGTACGCTCCTGTTGGAGGCTCTCGAATTTACCAAAAATTTCAGTTGCCTCTGTGGCTGTCGTTTGTTGGTCTCCCTCAGAGTCGCGACTGATGTTCGCAATGTCACCTTCGGCCTGCCACATCCTGCGGTCTAGGTTATTCAACCTTTGCACTAGGTTCTTAGATCAGGCACCATATTCACGATGGGTCGTAATACGACAACCATCTCTTCAAGGGCCGCAATGTGGTCCCCATGATTCACCATGGTCAGAAATGGTAGTAATGGCAATGTGTTCCCTCGCCCGATGTCGAGCCTAGGCTTTGATACCTACTGTTACGTGGCATCTTCCTGAGATTCCTTGGAAGGGCGACGTAAGGCTAAGAAACCGAAGTCAGTGCAGTTACTATCCGCCAACTGAGGTCCCGTCCGTACGCTAGATGAGATTGTCAGTGTCGTACGGGAAAACCAATGTCAAGAGCAATTGAGAGAACAGAAATGAGAATTGAGAATGAAAGAAAGCTTGATTGCATTAATGAAACATATTACAGAAAAACAACACGGTGTCGAGGGGAAGAGACACCGGTACAAATAATTATTTGCTTGCTAGAAAGTTTGATTGCTTGATCCCCCCTAATAGTGCTTAAAAAAATAAAATAAAGTTACAGGACTTGACTTAAATAAGCTAGAGAGACATAATGGAAATATATGAAATAAAACTGCTCTATATTTACAATGAAAAGGACTAGATTCCTACAAAGTAAAAGCCA